ATAATTTAAGACATTTAAGGTTTATGTGAACTGTTCAAATATTTCAGCACACTAATAGTTCTAATAGCTCACTTACACATTTAAATTAATAATTAAAGATTTTACAAAATTAATAACCAAAACAAACAGTTTCATTTATAGATAATACAAAATATTTATTTGTTTTGAAATTTTCTAAGAACTTATGGATTAGAAAAATAAAATAAATATTTCACGTAAGAAATAAAAAAAAATTACTTCTTCGTTACACTAAGTACTGAATTATTGTAAAAAGTCCAGATGAATAACCAAAACAAAATTTTACTCAACGTGAATCATAATGATTAAGAAAACAACATAGATATTTGAAAAAAAATGAAAATCAACATTAAAGAAATTAAAATAAGCAACTAAATGCAATCAAATCATATAGTATTAACAATCTTAAACATAGTGGAAAAATGTTCATTCTGCACCATAGAAGAAAATGATACACAACGAATCTTGTATTGCGGCAATACTCGTTGTAGATATATATATATTTTTTAATATAAATTCGTATGAACAATTGGTAGACCAATCAAACTCCACTCACCGGCTCTCTTGGCACAATCCAAAAAAGACAATTATTTGATGTCACCGAGTCTTGAGTCTTACCTATAATCTCTATATTGTCATTGAGTCTTGAGTTTTTCCTTGCAATTTCAAATAAGACAATTATTTAATGTAATGATATATTATTATGGATTTAAATCTTAACATAAAATAATCAATCAGTACGAAAAACAAACCTTTGCCGACTATATCTACAATAATAAACAAACAAAATAAAATGTTAGATATACAATCTTATATGTAAATAAAATTATAAATAATTATTGTATGAATACGACATAATTAATAATAAAAACGCATAAATATAAAGCATGCTAAAAATTAACAGAAAAAATGAAACTTTATGGAACATTTGTAGTTTTCTGGAACGAAATTGGATGAAAGTGATGAGTGTGGGGTAAAAATGATTTTATACTTGTCTTTAGTTTGTTAAAAAGGTAAATAATACATAATTAAGGCACAAATCAATTAATTATTAAGAAATCATTCTTTTCCGGAAATCAATAAGCAAATTTAAATAATTATGGTACAATATTGTTTCATGTAAATATTTTATTCTCAAAATGGGAAATAAAATCAATATATTATTATCCCATATTAAATCCTTCACATTTATCAAATCAAATAATAAAATTATGATATGTTGGCCAAAACTAATATTTGAAGATTTATCTTTTCTTAGAAATTAGTTACAATTCAATATATTTAAAGCATAATATATATACTATCGGATTTAAAAAGAAAAAAAAAATCAAACAATTACCTAAAAACATGATATTTGGAATTAGTTTGTGAAATCCTATAAATATAATATATTTCAAAGAATTAATACTAAAATAATACAAAAAAAAATTACAAAAATTACGGAAATATAAACATAATATAAAAAAAATCAAAAATATATACATAATATTAAAAAATTTGAAAATATATACATAATATTAAAAAATTCGAAAATATATACATGATATAAAAAAATTGAATATTTATACATTAAAGATTGAGTTTTCTGAATTTAAAAAAAATATAGGTGGAAAATATATTTCGAAAACTTAAACTATTAAAAAAATAATATTTTTCGAATTTATAGGATATTAAATGCATATATATATGTTCAAATATAATATATATATATATATATATATATATATATATATATATATATATATATATATATATATATATATATTTGTTAAATGAATGTGCAAATATTAAACAGGAAAGAACTTAAAAACATACCAAGATTAAAATGTCTAATAATCAATTGAGTATTACACATCATCAATTTAATGCCAACTAAGCGATTTGAGAAAATGACATAGGAATTTGCCACATGTCATTCAAAGAGGGCATAGATCATCTTGAATTAAAGTATATTAAAATTAATAAACTGCATGAAAACAATAAAAAAAAGTATATTAAAATTAAAACCCAAGAGAAAGAAATACAAATAGTACTAATATGTATATATAAAAATAATTATGAATATAAAAATATGCATATATACGTATAATAATTTATAAGAAATGATAAACAAAAAATGTAATACTGTATAATACGAATATTGTGCACTTTGTAATCGAATGATGGTAGAAAAAAATGAAATGAACATTGAGGGGTTTATATAGTATTGAAAATGAACTTAATTCTATGGGAAAATAAAAAATTCAAAATATTTATATATTAGTTAATGAAATCAAATCAAACAAATAAAGGAAACAACCCAAAAAAAAAATATAACTTGTGGAAAAAAAATCTCGCAATATAAAAACATTAAATATGAAGATACGATTTTTATTTTTTACCATTCAAATTTGAATTAAAGTATAAATTAAATCAATTAAAGATGATATGATGGAATCTTGGAATATTAAAGATTCCTTTATATTGGTGATTTGATATTTTATTGAAATAATAATTAATAAATTTTTTTTTGCATAATCCGTAGTTCTATAGTTCGGACCGCATTATTATATATTAAATAATGTTTTCCAAAATACAACCAACTACATTAAGAATTAATCCACCGTGTATGATAAACATTATTTAAAAAAAATAGTGGATTATTTATTAAATACTTATATTAAAAACTAAAACATTTTTTCATTATTATTTTTAATGGAATAGATATTCGAATATTCTAAAATATTGAAAATTAAAAAAAAAAAAAACAACAACATATTCCTTTATTTTAATATTTTAGTATTTAAAAAAATATTTTTTTAATGAAAATTATTTGAATATTCGTAAAACAATTGAGTTTCATGAATTTATTTGAATAAATATATTTTGAAATACTAAAAATATAAATAAGATTTTTTTATTTCGAATTTATAAAATATTAACTTTGGAAATAATATATATACATGTGGTAATTATTAAATGATTGTGTAAATGTAAAATAGGAAAAAACTTAACAACATCCATAAATAAAAATGCCACCTAATCAATTGAAGAATCCACCTAATCAATTGAACTCCAACTAAGCAATTTTGACAAATGACATCATCATTTGCCACATGTCAATCATTGAGGGCATAGATCCTCTTTTTATATTATATATAGAATATAGATTGTAACCCCAATTTAATCAATTTTGACCACAAAAAGTCAATTTTATTTTTCCAATTTTTTTTTTTGCTGTCGGTCTCCGGCATTGACTGTTCGATTTTTTTCTTTTTTTTTTTATCAGTTTTTTCCGCCGTCGATCCCGACGATGACATTTTTTCGTAGTTTTTTTTTTTTTTTTTTTTTTTTTTTTACGTCCGCCGCTAAACGTTTACCGTTATTGTGCTATTATTAACACTATTATTAACAGTAATTATACTGTGAATGACAGTAAATTAACGTGATTGTATTGTCGTTAACAATACATTAACGTGATTGTATTGTCGTTAACAGTACATTAACGTGATTGTACTGACACTACATTAACGTGATTGTACTGACATATATCTATATAATTGTACTGACACTGACAATACATTTATATAATTTTACTGTCAAAGACAGTAAAATTACAGTCAACGATAATAATGATGTTCAAGTAGTATGCAAGCACAAGACTTGTCCATGGAGAATTTATGCTTCACAACTGAGAGATGAGGCTACTTTCCAGATCAAGACATTAAATGCAATCCATGAGTCCAACAAGAAATAAAGAGTTGCATGTGCAACATCAAAGTGGCTGGCAAATAAATGTATGGACTGGACAAGATTAGAACATATCAAAGACAAAGGCCAAGAAGTTTAATACCAGTTCAAATGTTGAACAATATGGTTCGATTTGGAGATATGCTTCAAAAATAGTTAGAAACAATCATGGTACTACTATCAAGATTAAAACTAAAGGTGTTGGGGATGATCTAAAGTTTAAGACACTTTATTTGTGTTGGGGGCTCTGAAAAAAGGTTTTCACACGCCCGGTTTGGGCGTAGAAATGCCGCAGCAACATAAACCCCCAAAAAATGCGATTTCTAGGGGGTTTTCACATGAGCAACACCAAATTAACTACAAATTAAACACATTTAACTAATTTAGATTAGAAATTACCTTGAATTTAGTGAGATTTTCGAATCGGGGAGGACATGTGAGAATTTTTTTAGGGTTTTTGTGAGTTTTGGGGGTTTGGGGGGTTTTGGTGTTTTTGGTGGTTGAGAGAAAGTGAAGAATAGAATGAAAGGTATTCGTAATTTTAGTACCCATAAATCATTTCAGTTTCTTGAAACATCAAAATCAAAACGAGCCATTAATCTGAAAGAAGAAAAGATAACACAGGAAGTTTATTTCCCCTACCAAAAAAAAACACATGATTATTTCCAGAAATTTAAAATAAAATCCGCAGAGAGAAAAATGGGAGCACCACTACATAATTAACTTGTCTGTATTTAGAAGAAATACTTAACTGAAACTCAACTTGGACCCAAAACCAACCAAAGTTCTACATTATGATGTAGACAACAGTTGGGTACGGTTCTAGGTTAATTTATAAGGCCAATTTAGAAAGAAGAAAAAAAGAACACTGCTAAATCTAAATCATCATTAAGAGAAGGAATTGTTGCTTTTAGCTCTTTCGTCAACCTATTGAATAGGCGACTCCTTATCGGAGACATGTGAACGGGCCCCGTCTAAACTACCGAATCTAGTAATGGTACTACTTTCGTTGAACTTGGCATACTCTCTTCGAAATTCATCATCTTCGTTCCACCTCTTCATAAACTTTTCCACCTATAAAATAATAATAATTGAGACTCTAAGTTAATTTATATACTTAAAACGAACCTTCTCAAAATAATATAACTTACATTATTCTTGCAGTAACGGGAAAGCACCACACAATCCTCAGATGCTACATATAAATGCGCAAGGACTCCATTCGAGCTGCAGTCGCTGAGGAGTAACATCTGCGAGGGATTTCACTCATTCAATTAAGCTACTCACATTGCCATAATTATATACAAATAAATAATAATAGAAATATATAAATATACATGATCATAATAAAAAAATAGTACGAGTCATACTCATAATAAATAAGTTAGCATTGAGAGATTACCTTGTCATGATAAGATTTTTCTATACTCTCCTTGTTAGCAATTGCCTCTTCGCAAGCATGAACTGCAACTTTGTACTGACGTTGGAGTTCTTCTATTTGTTGCATGGCATCATCTTTTTTCTTCCTGAATTTCACAAAACGTGCTTCAGCTTCTAAGGCACTGTCTCTGAGGATCTGAATCTCCTTCTCTAGAAACTGCGCAAACCAAATTCATTATCCGCTCTCATATGCATATGTTTTATACATTTAATGAAACAAAGTTGTAGAAAACTAATATCACGTATGTATGTATACATACCTTTAAACGGTCTTCAGCGTCCTCTATTGCTTCACGAATCTGCCTGATTCTTTCCTCTTCTTCTCTATCAAAGAGAGAAGATAATTTCTCTTCTTCTCTATCAAAGAGAGAAGATGATAATTTCTCGCGACGTTGCTTCAGTTGATTGAATTCACGCGTGAAATACTGTTTATCCTCAAATTCACCATTCATCAAAGCTTCCAAGATCAAAGCTTCCAAGTCGCATATCTACAAAATTTCAACATTTTAGAAAACAAAACAATTTTTTACTACTCCAAAAGAAAGAAATGGAGTTTCCTTGCATACCTACCTTACTATCGATATGCTCAATAGATATTGAATTTTTGGCTTTGTCAATAATACGAAGAAGCTTGTCTCTTTTCGCAAGTATTGATCTCAAATGACAACTTGCTCGAAACTCAACATACTTGACGTACCTGTAATACCCAAGGAGAATCTCTTTCTGGGGCTGCAAAATTGGTCCAACAACAAAATAACATTTGTGTTGTGTTAACAAAAAAAATAAAAATAAAATCAATTAATTGAAAAAAACAAAGACGACAGACTTACTAATTCGTCTTCAACTTGTAACTCAAGTGCATCCCTGATATTTGTCTTTTCATCAACATGTAGCTCTTCAATTGCAAATATGAAGGATTCTTGGAGAACACGAATATAAGTAGGTGGGATTTTAATCAAATAGTTGAATGATGAATTTGTGGTGGCAGCCTCAACATTCATACTGTTACAATAGAATCCAATCCAATCCAATGTGTAAACGAGTATGAAAACACAAAAGAAACCCTACAGAAAAAAGGAATCCTTTTGCGAATCACAGAGATCAACAAACAATGAATTAACCAAAAAAACTTATTTCAAATTTCAATATTAAAACGAAATAAGTACCTTTACGAGCAGAAAGCGATCTCAATCGAAACCCCCAAATCCGAGGAGAGGGCTTTTCCTCGCTGAAGAAAAAAAAAAAGAAAAAAAATTCGATCTTTAACTTTGGGCTGGGGAATTATCTCAAAAGGAGATGAGAGTGGGCCAGGATTAATTGGGCTGAAGATTTATTATTAGATCATTTTGCAATTACATCTTTTCTACGGCAGAATTACACTTTTGGTCCTCATGTTTGAACTGATTTTACTTTTGGTCTCCTTTGTTCCAAAGTGAACAAAGTTCACCTCCAAGTTTCAATTTTAAACTCTTTTGGTCCCCGCCATTACATGTCCGTAACGGAAAATACTATTTTGGGGTGAAAATTGAAATTTAAAAATCTTTTGGAGCTGAAAATAATTATAAATTTCAAATAGACTACTTATAATTTTTAATAATAAAAGAGAAATTAACGAAACAAATAATTTTTTTAATATACTTAATAATGAAAAAAAATATTTTTCACCCCAAAATAGTGTTTTTCGTTATTTGCTAACGACTTGTAACGTTGGGACCAAAAGTGTTTAAAATTGAAACTTGGAGGCGAACTTTGTTTACATTGGAACAAGGGGGACCAAAAGTGAAATTGGGCCAAACATGAGGGCAAAGTGTTTAAAACTTATTTTTACGGGGTATTGCGGCAATTATAGAACGACGACGTCGTATTTCACCATCGAACGCTATACAGTCCTTGATCATTTCAGTTCACCATTTTCAACCTCTCTCTCTCTCTGCTCTGCTCTCTCTCTCTCTCTCTCTTCTCTGTACAGAAGCACAGTACATGCACCTGGACACATTTCCTCCGGATTTTCAATCATGGAGGACAAGGAAACCGAACTCATCTCCAAAGTCATCGCAAATCACTTATTCCTTGGCCAATTCGAACCATTTCGGGCAATGCTCCGTACTCTCCGGAGCCGGAGCCCGGACCTCGCCCGTACAATTTTGCAAACGATAATTTCTCAGGGCGGGCGTATGGGTATGCCCGGCCCGGTTCTGTGGTCCGATTCATGCCCTTCTCCGGCCATCCTGACCTTCCTTTGCACCCTTGAACTCCTCGAGTTCCCGGACGCCACTTCGAATCTCTGGTCGTTCGATCCGGATACGTTGAAATTGCGCTCCGAGTTTCTATTGTATGTACATATTGTCAGTTCTAGAGTTTTAGAAATAGCTAGAGATGTTGTAAATATGGAGGGGGACGATAATTTTGACGAAGGGAGTGTGAGGAATGAAGAACTGAGGGTTTTGGAAAGACTTTCGGAGGTGGGAACGGGCCGTTTGAAGCCGGATTTAATCGATTCGGAAGAAACGGAGCGGGATTCGAGGGGATTGAGCGAAGGGGAATTAATGACACTCAGGGGGGTTATTTTGGAGAACTCTGAGATTTTTGACGTGCTGTGCGCGAATATCGAAGAGCAATTGGGGAACATGGAGAATGAGGATTCGGGGGGTTTGGCAATTACGGTGAGAAAGGAGGTGAAGCGCCGAGAGGAGAAAGTGGAGGAGGTGCTGAGGTTGCTGCAGAAGTGTGTTCAGTTGACACATTTGGACGCCATGAGGCAGTGCTTGGAGAACGGTGACGAGGATGGTGGAGTTTCACATGTTAGGTTTCTCCATTTGAACTGCGGAGTTGAAGAAAAGGAGTATCGGTAGGATTACACACACTTGTTCTGTTTGCTAGCTTTGAGCATGATAAACGTTTGCCTGTTTACTGGAGTGTCGTTTGGAAGTTCATTTGAGCTGCAAATGTGCTGTGCTTCTTATAACCTATTTGTGATTGTGTGTTTTTTTTTTTTTTTTGACTCTGCATGCATTTTGGACTTAGAAAATAGGCACCCTAAAAGGCATCTGTTAGTGCTAACTTATGTTTGAAGTAAGTATAGACGATTACATTCAGGAGTCATAGATTTTGTATTTGTTTCAATTGTCGGACTCATTTTTTTCCCCCTGAAAGAAGTGATAAGATACCAAATATGAACTCTTCTTAAGTTCTCCAAAGTATTTTGTTGAGCCCACTTAGAAATAAATGGAAGATTTGTGTAACAGAAAGCTTGATTTGGTTGTTACTGAATGTTTAACTAGACGGGGTTTAGCAAAAGAACTCTAAAATTCAACTAATTAGGATTGATCTGTTAACAATACTATTAGGCTGAAGGAATCTATCAAACATAAAATCCATCCCAAAAAGATGAACAACTTTCCCTCAATAGTACTATACTGCTGTTGGAAACAAATAGGATTATGAAGTTACATGGGCATCATGGGAATATGGATAAGCCCCTAAGTTTTGTAGCAAATGCCTTTTGCCAGTGGTTGTTATGTGTGAATCACATGTAAAATTATTGGGGTAATGGATTCCATATGTTTAAAATCAAAACCAGCGACAGTGTACTCATTTATGCCATGGCCAAGCCTATAGACATTCATTGAGTTATGTTAGTTGGATTTGATTCAAAGACAATGATATTATGTTTCAGTTTTGGATTTTCTCGGCTTTCTCTTTCTTCTTTTAAATGGAAAAATAGAAAGGTTAGAGTAGAAAGTCATATATGTATGCTGTGTTTTTCTCCAGGTAAGGAAGTGATGAGTATTTTTCAGTTGTGTTAAATCTGTCAGTGCCACCGATCCTTCCCATATCATGCCTTCCCTTGTGAAGTTTACATGCAATCCTGTCTGACAACTATCCTTTCTTTGCTTTCTGATTGAGCACTTCGTTATTTATCTCCTGCCAAATGGGCTTGTTCGTGGAAAATTAAGTTTTGTAATATCGCATTGCTTTTGAATTTAGCAATGTTGAATGAACCTAAATGTCTATTTTTTGTTAATTTTTTTTATTGCTTCTCTCCCCTTCTTCTTCTTTGCTGATTTTTTTCCACCTCTAGCAACTAACATTACTCTTCCTAATCTTTAATAGCATGGTAGTGCAAGATCTCCTAAAGAGGTTGTTGTCAGGAGTACATGATTATGGAGACGCCTCACATGCCACACGCAATAAAGTATTCTTAGTGTATAAGGAAGCACTTTCATCTCATTGCACTCGTCTTGTTCAGATGCTTCAGGTTGTCTTGATGATTCTATCTTCTATTACTGGTACATTATTGTTTTAATGAATAATATACATTCTCTTCTATATGTTTGAGATGATCAATAGGTTGTGAATTCACTTCATTCATTGGTGATTTGATTCTCAAATGATCCGGCACTGTTATCTTTATGATGTGATATCTGTACTCTTTATGCCAGAAAATAAAATTATGCTCCATAGGCTATTTTCAGACTTGTAAGACGTCATTTGCTTCATTTTTTATGATTTTCCCGAGATATGCTATGCGATCCTTGAAGTTTTATTGATTGTAGAAGCACATGTGTTAATAAATTAAAGTTATGTGTAATTCTAGAATCTAGTGTTGTTTGAACTGCTTCACATACTTCTTTATTTTATCACGTGACCTAAGGAATAATTGTATTTATAATTGGCCGCACAGCTTATTCAAGATGACTTACTATCGGAAGAGATCGAGGTATACAGTGCTTCTGAAGGCGACAAGATTCCTCTGCCCCTTCAGCGCCTTAAAGATTCGATTGTACATCTGAAACCTGAGGCAATCTCAACTGACACATCTTTGCCCTCGAAAATTGCGACGTCTTTTTGCATGAGAGACATTTATCATTATGCTCGTGTTCAAGGCTTGCATACACTAGAGTGTATTGTGGACACTGCATTATCGCTTGTGCAGAAAGAGCAAATTCAAGAAGCTTGCCAGGTACGCTGTTGTACTTTTGTAGTCGAACTATTACTTGTGGTCATTTACGTCTTATGACTTTATTTTAATTGCAGTATCGTGCATTTGAGTTTTTCCTTATTGAAGTCTTTCACCTACATCTATCTGTCGATTGGTGCTTCTTTCTTGAAGTGCGGATTTTCACTTAAGCGTTTAAATCTTTTACTGCGCAAACTGTATCACACCCATGTCCGGCTGCAGTTCTTGATATACCTTATATTTCATATATTTTCCTTCCATGTGAAGAATTCCATATACAAGCCTTTGAACATGTTTCCAGGTCTGAGTATATTTTCAGAAATGGAACCTTCAGAGAGTTATCCTATTTTTGTGCCCCCTCAAGGAAAAGGAAAATTTGGGTCAGCAATTTCCTCTGACATGCTTTAAAACTTCTTCTTGAACAAGGGCTTATTAGATTTTCTGATTGAATTCAACAGTGTTTCATTGGTCCTGTTGCAGACTTAGCATTCAATTTTCACCTTTTGATTTCCTGCCAATTCCCTTTCTTTACCGTACGTCAATTTATTTACTATTTGTTAATGTCTTGTATCATAAATGCACATCAGGTTCTTATGCTGTTTCCGCGGCTTCAACCCCTGATTGCTGCCTTGGGTTGGGATCTTTTGGCTGGAAAAACAACAATGAGAAGGAAACTGATGCAGTCTTTGTGGACAACCAAATCTCAAGCCCTTCGATTAGAAGAGTCTTCTCCTTATGATAATAAACTAGATGAGGTAAAAAATGTTTTACATCCCTTGTTCTGTAACTTGTCCAATCCCGAACATGCACATGAACTATATGTCTGTACATGTACATGAACACAATGATTATATTCTCCTACATATCCAGTGACAAGATTCCCTAAATACTTTCACGGCTGGCAGGCATCCTGTGTAGAACATCTTTGTGATACATTATGCTACCACCTTGATGTTGCTTCCTTTGTTGCGTGTAACAATTCTGGTCAATCTTGGAGTTCGAAATCCTCCGTCCTGTTGTATGGAAAAGACTTGGCTGACCAGGGGAATGAAGATGCTACATATGATCCATTTGTCGAAAACTTTGTACTGGAAAGATTATCAGTCCAGAGTCCACTTCGGGTAAGGCTCGAAAATCGAAACTGTATACTGTGGACAATTTATGCACACTCAACTGGGTTTTCTATCATTGTTCTTGTTTTTGTAGGTAATATTTGATTTGGTACCCCACGTAAAATTTCAAGACGCGATTGAATTGCTTAGCATGCAGCCTATTACTTCCACATCAGCAGCTTGGAAGAGGTGTGGTTATAATTCATACCAATTATTTCAATATTGCAGTTGTTATATGCATCTTGTGGGTTTCCAATTTCAATTCTAAATGAAATATACTAATTTGTTCCACCAAGGCCAAGTGATTTACCGACTGGACTATAATTTAAATATACTTGGTTCTGCTACTGTCACAATCTTTTTGCTTTTCATTTGCCTGTGAACTCCTACCTTCAGTTGCATAGCTGAATCTGACTCCCCTTTCTAGTTACTTACTTTATGCATAATCTTCTATAAGTTAAGAGACCCACACTTTATGCTTTCTAAAGCAGAAAAGGCTCTCCGCCCTCTTTCTCTTGCACCGGATGTAGCAACTCTTGTGTATGCTTAGGTTCTTATGCTTTTCTATTAGAACTCAGGAAAAAAATTAGTGTTAGTTTTATTTTTCTCTTGGCACCTGAAACATTAAGAACTTGGTTTTAAATTTCAATTGTAGGATATAGTTTATTTTATGGAGTTCTATCACCCCCTATATCTATTCATGATTGTAGAAATTATTAGAATGTTGTCTTAAATGCCTACCATACCGAGGATACATATAACAATTGGTTCTTCCCGACTTTATAGCTAAATCATTTTGTGAGGAACAGTCAGCCAATGCAGTTATGGGTCATTTTTTCTCTAACTTGATGCATATATCTCCAATAAATTTGCAAATTAGTATCAGCTTGTTTGTATTTGAGGGAAGATTATTTGTGCCGTCATTTAGTGATTTTATAATTAGTTAACTACATATTGATTCTACTAGAGCTTGATTACCTTCTTATATTGTTCATTCATGCTTTATTTGAACACTAAAACTTGTATAAATTGGTCTTTATTCTTTTTCTCCTCATAAACATGTTTGTTCTGCATTACATGTTGGCAGGATGCAAGATTTTGAACTTATGCACATGCGATATGCTCTTGAATCTTCTGTTCTTATGCTTGGAGCTATGGAAAAGAGTACCACTGATGGAACAGGAGATCAGCAAGTAGCTTTAACTTATTTGAAGGAACTGAAGAGTCACTTGGACGCAATTACCAACACTTCCCGCAAGGTTTTGTGATCTTTTCTCTCTTCTGATTTATCATATAGTAAATGCTGCAGAAATCCATGTTGGTCTTTTCATCAATCATGCTGTCGGTTCTTGTACTCAATGTAGAGGCCTAGGCTGCAAATGGTTAGTGTTAGAATATAATTAGGAATTTGTCTTAGATTAGGAATCTATTATATTAGGTTAGGGAACAAGTTTTTCCTACTTTTGGAGTCTTCCCCAACTCTATATAAGAGAGTGGGTTGATTCAATATTGAATCTCTGTCTATTCTATCTGGCTATGCTATAATAAATCTGTCTAGCTTTTCTGTCTAATTAATTCTAGTCTTTTTCTACTTTTCTATTCTAGCAGTTAGGAAAAGGTTGTTCTCGATAATGCCTGTAAGAGGGTTGCATGTAAGGTTGTTTTGTAAATGAAATGCTCTCCATTTTGGGTAATAAATTGTTCCTTATTTGTTCTTCTGCATCACAATGAAAGGATTGAGTGGAATATTACTCACAAAAAAAGAGCGCTTTGAAATTTAACATCTTCTATTCTTGCTGGCAAATTGATTTCTTTTTGCTTTCTCCTGCTGGTCTTTTTCAATGGGAACATGGTATATCAGTCATAAAATACATATATTTATACTAGATGTTTTTGACTTGTGAAGAGTCTGTCTGTGTGGGTAGCAAGCTAGTCTTTAGACTAATAGGCCTTCTGTAGCTAGTATCACAGATTGCGCCGCATTTTTACATTGCTTTCTCAAATCTACAAACCGATCTTCAACACTATATGGTGAATAGCTGTGGCATGAATGAAACAAGGCTACGAATAAATAACTATCTTAACTGAGTTAAATCTGCCATTGGACCAGTTTTATTCTAGCTCCTACTAGACAAGTTTTTCTCTGAACTCATCCTTTGTTGCTTATGCTCGGGTGGGTTATTTGTGCCATGCAGATATATATGGTGAACATTGTTATCTCACTTTTATATATGGACAATCTACAAAGTGATTTGGCACCTTCTGATCCACTAAGAAGACCTTCAAAGTCACTTAATGCTCATGGTGGGGGAGAAGCTGATGTCATAACGCATGAAGGGGGAAATGAAATGGTTGTCTCCTTTACAGGGCAATTACTTGATATTTTGCGGCAGCAACTACCCTTATCAATATCCGATCTGGATAATTCTTTGGATGATCATATATCTGCTGCAAGTAAACAAGCTGTAGAATGGAGAATCTTGAAGGCAAAACGTTTCATTGAAGATTGGGAATGGCGCCTGTCAATTTTGCAAAGCCTCCTGCCATTATCTGAACGCCAATGGAGGTGGAAGGAGGCTCTGACAGTGCTACGTGCTGCCCCGTCTAAGCTACTTAATCTGTGAGTTGTTCTATTGGTTGGGATTTGTAGCTTCTTACATTACTGTATTGATCTTGGAAATTTATACGCTGTGAGTGTGTTTGCACGGATATGCATGTGCCTAGTGATGTCCAGACATCACTGCCGATGTTTGCTTGTATTTCAGTTGCATGCAAAGGGCAAAATTTGACATTGGAGAGGAAGCTATTTCTCGCTTTGCCTTACCTCCAGAAGACAAGGCGACACTGGAACTGACTGAATGGGTGGATGGTGCCTTCAGAGAAGCTTCAGTAAGATTTCAATTTCTATAAATTTCTATTTTGATTACATATCTTGAGGTTAGAATCTTAATATTTTAGGAGCGCACAAGTAATTGTTTTCATGAAAACCAAGGGAGAATCCATTAGATGGTTTCTGACAACTCATTAAAAAGAATCAAAATAAATGTTGTATGACCAGATATCATACATAGACCTGAAATAAAATTTGTTAAATGAACCTTTCTAAATATTATTTCTATTTTAAACGAATATAGGTGGAGGATGTGGTGTCACGTGCTACTGATGGTACTTCTGTTCAAGAATTGGATTTCTTGTCATTGCGCTCTCAGCTGGGTCCTTTGGCAGCTGTAGGTGTTCTTTACTGTCCTTAGCCCTCCAAAGTTGTTGCAGTGAAGTTGCTTGGTGTCTGGAGATTGTTGAGATTGACATCTTTGTTTGCCAATTGCAGATTCTTTTATGTATTGATGTAGCAGCAGCATCTTCGAAGTTACCGAATGTGTCTTTGAAGATTCTGAATCAAGTATCACACCGCAACCTTTACTCGTGCTTTTAATTAGAGAATTTTGTAGTTTGCAGTTATCTTTAAAGTTTGTGATGTCATCAAGTAATTTCATCCAGTGGTATTCCCTTTATTTTTCCTTTTCTTTTCGTGGGGGTTTCATAGATTTTTTTTTTCAATACTGATCCTGCCCCCTTAGCTTCAGAAGTTTATCATGAATTATTTTTGATTTAAAATGAAATATATGGCTGGCCTATGTTTTGACTATATGATCAATTTTGACAAGTAGGCACAAATTCTGCTTTCTGAGATCTATCCTGGCACTGCACCAAAGATTGGATCAACTTATTGGGATCAAATTCGTGAAGTGGCAATAATATCTGTTGTTAAGCGCGTCCTAAAACGTCTATGTGAGTTATTGGAACAGGTAATCTGAATTTTCAAGTTAGACCCAAAGTCCCTCGAAATAATTATGCACGGACAGGGTTTTTTTTTTTTTAATTCATTTATTTATTTATAATTATTGTTGTTAAATGGAGGCTGCTGTTTGATTTGGCTCTCCAAACTCATGTGCACATTTTGTGGTGTTTTTGTACTTATTTCTCTTAATCAATTCAGGACAAACCACCTGCTCTCCAGTCTCTTCTATCAGGCGAAATGATCCTCTCATTGTCAAAAGATTTCCGCAGACAAGGAAACAGAGACCGAGCTCTTGTTATGCTTCATCAAATGATTGAAGATGCTCATAAGGGCAAGCGACAGTTCCTCAGCGGTAAAATAATTATACACATTAGTTTTTGAATTGTTGTTTTTCCCACCCTGCTTGCTAATTAAGGTAATCGTGGTGATGTACCAATATGTCGAAGAGGCTTCCGATCCTTATTTATCTGTTAAATTTCAGGTAAGCTTCATAATTTAGCGAGAGCAATAGCTGATGAAGAAACGGAAAGGGATAATGCTAGTGGGGCTAGTTCGGAGGGCTCACATTCTGATGAAAGAGGACAGCAGTCAAGCCTTGACAAGAATGGGGTTCTAGGGCTTGGTTTGAGAACCGTAAAGCAGTCACCTGTGACTCTAGAGGCTAGTGAAAGTAATATAAATTCTGCAAATTACGATGTCAAAGATTCAGAAAAAAGACTATTTGGCCCTTTCGGTGCCAAGATTACAACATTCCTTTCTCAATTTATTCTCCACATTGCTGCAATTGGTGATATTGTTGACGGGACGGATACAACTCATGACTTCAACTACTTCTCACTAGTGTATGAGTGGCCCAAAGACGTACAACTTCTTCCTCCCCTTTTTCCTTTATCATTGTATTCCCTTATTTCTTGGGGGGTTTATTTATCCATATTTTTGGAAGAATTGATGCTGAAATTCTCTCTGTTTTGCATTGGCCAGTTTACTGAATCTAAATTCTACAATATTTTAAGAAGTTTATTTTTGGTACTCTGATTTTCAATGTAAAAAATGAATACGATATCATAAGCGAAGACTTGCTCACCTATACCATAAATACAAATAATGAGTTAAGTACTATATAGGTTGAGATAGTTGTCACTGTGTGCATGAAACTAGTCTGTGATATAGAAAAAGGGCGGGGTGGTGTGTCTTTATGAAATGGTAGCTAGTACAACCTGGCTCATACTGTTTTCTCAACTTTGCAGCTTTTAACTCGTCTGGTATTCGAGCGAGACAGTACCGAGGCAGCTGGAAAGGTAGCAGAAATAATGAATTCAGACTTTGTCCATGAAGTAATTTCTGCATGTGTACCTCCTGTTTTCCCTCCGAGATCTGGTCAGGGTTGGGCTTGCATTCCAGTGATTCCCACTCTCGCTAAGAGTTCTCCTGAAAACAAGGTTCTCTCACCTTCTTCTCGAGAAGCTAAACCGAAGTTTTACGCTCGTTCTTCTGCCACTCCTGGAGTTCCACTGTACCCTCTCAAGTTGGATGTAGTGAAGCATCTTATCAAGCTATCTGCTGTCAGGGCTGTCCTGGCATGTGTATTTGGAAGTACTATGTTATATCGTGGCAGTGATCCTGCTATCTCTAGTTCCTTGAATGATGGCTTACTGCATAATCCTGATGTTGATAGATTTTTCTACGAATTTGCTCTTGACCAATCAGAGAGGTATGTCTCAGCCGTGGTGGGTAAATTACAGAAATTGTCAATGGGGTCTAGCCTATTAGCATAAAAGTCCAGCTAAGTTTGTAAATTATGAATTAGATTTGACATTTGTTTATTTTCAAATTGCACCTATTGGAGGATGTCTTTGAAAGAGAAAGGCAACCCTCAAAAGCATGTTCATGATATTGGAAGTTGGCTGGAAATCTCTCTTGCTTTTGATTAGGCCAAACATCAAATCTTATATTTAGAATCTATCCTGATGTATTAACATTGTAAGTTTATGGCACAGTGTCTTATGTGGTTCTTTCCATTTCTGTAAGTAGGTTTCCAACCTTGAATCGCTGGATACAATTGCAAACTAACCTCCATCGAGTTTCTGAGTTTGCTGTCATGACTGACCATGGAAAAGATGATGTGAAAGATAATTCAAAACCCAAAACTGCTATGAAACGATTTCGTGAAACTGATAGTGACACCGAATCAGAAAATGATGATATGGCTGCTGGCAATAACGTTACCTTGCCTGTGCTTGAGGTTAAGGATCAAAGCAACGTGTCTTCTGATGCATGGCATGAATCTCCAAAGACTGAATCTGGTGGACATGATAATACAGTTTTCCTTTCTTTTGATTTGGAGAATGAAGGACCCTATGAGAAAGCTGTAGAGAGGTAATATTTTCACTATTATATGATTTCCTTGAAATCTGGGAAGAATATCTTTTTGAAAGAAACTTCAACTATTTTGATCTTCTACCGCTACTGACTTATGCACGATGGCAAGAACATTTCAATATAATTTATAATATCAATTATGTATTCCGTATTAACAAATGCATGTGGCATTTGTAATACATTAGTCTATCAATCTATATGGTGTTCCCTACTAATTTTATCATCTATACCGCCAATTGTTGTTATGTGTCAGAAAACTCGATATCCTTTATGTGATATCTTTTTTCCTACGGCATACTGAATTTTCTTAGCCTGAAGTTAAAGTAATTCTGCTAGGATCTTAAAACTCTACATTTATCATTGAATGGGTTAGGAAAAATATCATATCACCATTTGGACCTTGAGGATGAAAGCATGTATTATAAACTTATAATAGACCTGCTCAGGAGAAGGTCACTGGGTAGTTGGGTTGCCTATTTCTTTTGTTTTTCTCTCCTTCCTACATTTTGGGTTCTTACCCTCAACGTCCGTGAGTTGTAGGGTTCCTTTTTCGGCAAACTTTATATTAATTAGCTGATTCTCTGAAAGTGCATACAACTTATTCACACTTTCTCTTGGTCATTTTACCATCACAGATTGATTGATGAAGGAAACTTGTCGGATGCTCTTGCTCTGTCAGACCGCTTCTTGAGGAATGGGGCCTCAGACCGTTTGCTCCAGATGCTCATGCTAAGAGAAGAGGACGATACAATTTCAGGACAACCTCAAGGTAGTTCAGGCTTTCGTATCTGGAGCTATAGTTGGCAGTATTGTCTACGCCTTAAGGATAAAAATCTGGCAGCTAGACTAGCTCTGAGGTATGACTACTGGTTTAATTCTGTGGTCTTTTGTTGGTGATAATACTATAAGCAAGTGCACTTATCGTACAAATAATATAACGGACTAAAAGTCCGAGTATCGATTTTGACCATGTTAGAGTCCGAATTGTTGGGAAATTGCACGAAATAAGAATTGTAGCCCTTTAAATTAGCTTTCCTGTGATATTGTAATCAGGTGATTTAGAGTCCGGATGAGAGAGATACGATCGAAATTGAGAACATTTCCAAAGTTGTTGCGGGATTCCTTCTTCTTCCAATTTGATTTTATTTCCTTAATTGCAACTTTTTTCCTTTCTTTTTGATCATTTTTCCTTCATGGACACCTAATTCTCGTTTTTCACCTATAAAACACAAAATCTACCTATTAAAGCACAAATACAATTAAATCTAAACAAAAAATCCATCGAAGGTAAATTTATTGAGTGTAAAATTTACACTCGACATCTTTTTTATAAATATTTTTAGTTTCAAACTTTCATGTAATCATGAACTTTTAACATCGAGATTTCTTAACTCTTGACAGTAGTGAGTTTAAAAATTTCTTTTATTTTATTTTCCCTTTTCCTAATAAATGCTATTGTTTTAATTAAATGTTTGTATACTTTAGAGCTATTTACTTTTGCGCTAGTTCTTTGCTTTTTGCTACAACTTGTTTGACAGGCCTGTCTATTCTCTTCTTTAGATTTTTGCACAGATGGGAGCTGGACGCAGGTTTAGATGTCCTCACTATGTGTAGCTGCCATCTACCTGATGGTGATCCCCTTAAAATTGAGGTAGCTGGTTGTTTTTCCATTTGTATTAGAAGTAGAACTATTAATTGTTGGAGTTTTTCTCTGTGGTGGACTCAATTACAATTTTGTACTTGTGTTTTAATTTTTTTCTTATTAGGTCGTTCAAAGGAGACAAGCACTCTATAGATATAAACACATTTTGGGTGCGGATGATCGTTACCATAGCTGGCAGGAGGTGAATTATATTTCCTTTGATATTATGGATAAATTTAATACATTCTGTGAGTGTGTGTAATTTTTGAAGTTCTCTGCCCTCTTTACATGGTACTTTTATCTTTAAATTAGGTTGAGACAGATTGTAGAGAAGACCCTGAGGGTCTGGCTCTTAGATTGGCTGAGAGAGGAGCCGTATCTGCTGCATTAGAAGTTACAGAAAGTGCGGGTCTTTCTATTGAACTTCGTAGAGAACTTCAAGGGCGTCAACTTGTTAAGCTTCTCAATGCAGACCCTGTAAATGGTGGAGGCCCTGCAGAAGCTTCACGATTTCTTTCTACTCTCCGAGACTCTGACGATGCTTTGCCTGTTGCAATGAGCGCAATGCAGCTCTTGCCCAATCTTGGATCTAAGCAGCTTCTTGTATGTCAATAGATTCCTCTGTTTTTCAAGTTGATACCTGAAAATTGTTGATTTTTAACCAGTTCTGGTAAGTAAAGCTGTGTTTACTTTCAATAAGGTGCACTTCTTCCTAAAGAGAAGACATGGAAATCTGTCTGAGGTTGAGGTGTCTCGGCTGAACGCGTGGGCTTTAGGTCTTCGTGTATTAGCTTCCTTGCCATTGCCATGGCAGCAAAGATGTTCATCCCTACACGAGCACCCTCATTTGATTATAGAAGTTCTGCTGATGAGGAAGCAACTGCAGTCTGCTTCTCTGGTACGTTGCCTTTTATGTTAACTATTGTGATGTATAATTAACCATGGCATGAACCATTTGGTTTATGAATTGATTGTAGATTCTTAAAGAGTTCCCTCTATTGAGAGACAACGGCATGATTCTTGCATATGCTGCCAAAGCTATTGCTATTAGCATGAGTTCCCCTCCCCGGGATTCCAGAGTTCCAGTTTCTGGTCCGAGACCAAAGCAGAGAATAAAGGCTAGCACACCAACACGCTCAACATTTAGTAGCAGCTTAAGTCATTTGCAAAAAGAGGCCCGCAGAGCATTTTCCTGGACTCCTCGGAATGCAGGGGATAAGAGTGCTCCAAAGGATAGCCAGAGGAAGAGGAAGAGCTCTGGATTAATGCAATCTGAAAAGGTTTCTTGGGAGGCAATGGCTGGTATTCAGGAAGACCGTGCTTCAGTCTTCGCTTCAGATGGGCAAGAAAGGCTTCCTGCTGTTTCTATTGCTGCAGAGTGGATGCTCACAGGTGATCTCAAAAAGGACGACGCTGTTCGTTCTTCTCATCGATATGAAAGTGCCCCCGACATTACTCTATTCAAGGTACAATTGCATGTTTATGGAACTTGCATAATAGATTGAAAAGGTTATGATCTGCCAGAACAGAACGAATTTTCATTTTTAGAGAGAACATTGAACTCGGAAACCCGTGAAGTCTTTGTTGTATATTTAGGGGTCTCCTGAGTATTTATTAGTTTTGAGATCAAGTTGCTTTACCCATCTAGTAATGTTTTCATGGACTGCTAAAAAGTGTGCTGAATATTCTGTTGTTTTTGAACCACCGAAATTTCACTTTAACCCAAGTGCTCCTGTATTTATTTATTATGCAGAATAATATTTGTTTTTGAAATGAAATTAAGTTTTGTAACTGGTGAAAATGCTTCTGCTTGTGTCTGCTGGTAAAAATATTATATATGTAGCATATTTCTCCAGAATTCTCTCTAGTATGTAGGTAGAAAACATGTTTTTGAGACAGATCTGACTGCTCTGAAGTCGTCGGACTTACACAATCTAGCAGGTAGATATGATTCTGTCCTTAATGACTTCCACTGACTTTTCAACGTTGCCCATTGATTAAGTCCAATCAGGGCATCTGATGCTCATTGTCCAATGAACAGAAATAATTATATTATATATGATGCCCAATGTTCATCTCAGCCCTGAGGACCGGAACTTTAGTAATTAGGAGTGAGCGCCTAAAACAATTTTATTTCCGAGCCTATCATGATATTGGAACTGGGTCCATTTGGCTGTAAACCATCAGTGATTCATTTTTAATTGCATCAAATATGGTTTCTCTATGTAGATTCATATTTACTCTACTTTCTTCCTATTTGTTGTCCATGCTTTCATGCATTCTTCTGCATCCTCTTCAATCCATTTTATCAGTGTATGATGAACAGTTGTTAAAATTCCATTTATGCGGCTAATCATTGTATCTATTGTCCCTAGGCGTTGCTTTCATTATGTTCAGATGAAAGTGCAGCTGGCAAAGGTGCTTTGGATTTGTGTGTTAATCAGATGAAATGTGTTTTGAGCTTCCAGCAATTACCCGAAAGTGCATCTATGGAAACTATTGGCCGAGCATATCATGCAACAGAAACCTTCGTGCAGGTGCAGTTTGAAATTTTATCCAACTAGAGTAAAATGTTTGCATATGCTGTTAAACGGTTTATATTTGTTCTTCAATTCGCAGGGTCTGATTTTTGCTAAATCCCAGCTCAGAAAACTTTCTGGGGCCAGCGATTTGTCTAGTAATTCTGAAAAGGGTCGTGATGCCGATGATGCATCTTCTGATGCTGGTAGCTCCAGTGTGGGTAGTCAATCAACTGATGAACTATCTGAAGCATTATCACAGGTTGATATATGGCTAGGCCGTGCTGAATTGCTGCAAAGTCTTTTGGGATCAGGCATAGCTGCCTCCCTTGATGATATTGCTGATAAAGAATCATCTGAACGTCTTAGGGATCGGTTGGTCCAAGAGGAACGATATAGTATGGCTGTATATACTTGCAAGAAGTGTAAGGTAAATATTAGATATTTTCCTAGTCACTTATTCCAGTAACACACTAACACCATACCACTGTCATTTTAATCTTCCTTCAGATCGAGGTTTTCCCTGTCTGGAATTCATGGGGTCATGCTCTGATTCGGATGGAGCACTATGCACAAGCTCGCGTGAAATTCAAGTAGGTTAAAAATCTTTTGTGTATATAAGTGCATGAATAATGCAATTGGATTTTCACTCTTTTTTTAATCTTAGTTTTGTTAGTTGAGAGATCTCTGTTTTCTGTATACACTGTAGCTTATGTGATAATACTATACAGGCAAGCTCTTCAGTTACACAAGGGTGATTCTGCTCCTGTGATTCTAGAGATCATCAATACTATTGAAGGAGGTCCACCGGTCGATGTTGCGTCCGTTCGGTCCATGTAAGAGTTCATTCTTGAAAAATATAAACTATTTACTTTGTGGATATTGTTGACGAGTAGTTTATGCTGTCCCATCAACATATGATATAGGTACGAACATTTGGCAAAAAGTGCACCAGCAGTCTTGGACGATCCTCTTTCTGCTGATTCCTATCTCAATGTTTTGTACATGCCTTCTACATTCCCACGCTCAGAGAGATCTAGGAGGTTCCAAGAAGCTGCTAAGGACAATTCTGTACATGTATTAGATCTTGAAGATGGACCGCGCAGCAACCTTGATAGTATTAGATACCTTGAATGTGTAAACTATTTACAAGACGTAAGTGCTTAGATTAACTGTGACTTGATATCCTGGTTTAAAATCATTGGTGAATTTGTCAAATGATATCCTGGCTCTCTACAGCGTCTATATCATATATAGATAACCTAATCCATTAAAGTTACTCAAATGATTTGATTACTTTAAAATTGCAGGATAAAATGGTTGCATGACAGCATAATATTTGTGCATTATTCAAACGTGTGATGATTTTATTTCTTCGTTTCATCTGTATCGCATGCTAGACATTTTGTAGGTCTATTTATCTGCTCTGGATTACGCTTTACTGCATTGCATGTCCTTTTATCTGAAATTTGGTTTGGCTTTTCTTCGCTTTCTGTGCCCTTGTAAGTTAGTTGTTTGATCAAATTCACCGCAGTCGTGATTTATCTGGCCTTGCCTAAGTAACACATGTCTCTGATACATTATTATGGTCACTTCGCAGTATGCTCGACAGCATTTGCTCAGCTTTATGTTTAGGCATGGTCGATATAAAGAGGCCTGCTTCTTGTTTTTCCCTGTCAATTCTGTTCCTCATCCATCTCAGCCATCTTCTCTGGGAGTAGTTGCTTCATCTTCTTCCCCTCAAAGAGTTGATTCTTTGGCAACGGATTATGGAACAGTTGATGATTTATGTGATCTATGTGTTGGTTATGGTGCTATTCCTGTCCTGGAGGAAGTACTATCATCAAGGATATCAATGACACAAGACCAGTTGGTGAATCAGCATACTACTGCAGCAGTTGCCCGCATTTGTCTCTATTGTGAAACTCATAAGCATTTCAATTATTTATACAAGTTCCAGGTACATGAATTCATTATTATTACGAGTCCTTCGGAGGCACGCACTCTCTCTCTCTCTCTCTCTCTCTCTCTCTCTCTCTCTCTCTCTCTCTCTCTCTCTCTCTCTCTCTCTCTCTCTCTCTCTCTCTCACACACACACACACACACACACACATGCACATTCTTACTCACGCAGAGAATGCTGATGTCTATCTTGTAAACCAAATATGAGTTCTCTACTAGATAAATTTTCACTTATTAAATGTCAATTGGCGGATTAGGTGCTCAAGAAGGATCATGTAGCTGCTGGCCTTTGTTGTATTCAGTTATTTATGAACTCTGCTTCTCAAGAAGAAGCGATAAAGCACTTGGAAAATGCCAAGGTAGTTATTTCTTTTCCGTATATCTTACTTGTCAGTTACATAGTTTCTATGTTCTTATATGAAACACTTTTCTTGAGGATTAGCAAGAAGGTGGTTATGATCTGAGTTCAAATGTATTTTCATTTTTTCATTGCTTTTTGTGTGAAAATGAGTATATGTTTAGATTTAATATTGCAATGTTGACTTTGTTGAATTAGGAATGATATGTTGGGGTAGGATTAATAATTAGCGGGTCCTTTTATTTTCCTTACTTCTCACCAATCAAGCTATAAAAAAGTACAGGATGCATAAATGGTTGATCCTTTTTAAACACATTACTCCCATTTATCAAATGGGAATACAACATCTTGTTTACATTTAAATTCAGTAACTCTGCTTTGTAGGTTCAATTGCCATTTGCCACCTTGGTCATTTTAACATTATACTGTTCTGAAGGTTATGCAGGGTCTATATGCACCCGATGACTCAAACCACTGTTTGCTTATTTGTTTGTTTTAACTCAGAGGAATACTCTGATAAGTCGTGTCTGCTCCAGATATGATCTTCACAAACTGGTAACCAATGTAATTTTTTGTTCTTTGCATCTTAATCTGTTTTGGGGCAGATGCATTTTGATGAAGGGTTGTCGGCAAGATACAAACTAGGGGATTCTACAAAGCTTGTCACCAAAGGGATTCGAGGAAAAACTGCTTCCGAGAAGCTTAGTGAAGAAGGATTGGTCAAATTTTCAGCCCGTGTCGCCATTGAGGTACAGATCTGTGTCATTTTGGTATGTTAGATTTTAATGCCTATTTTTCATGGAGATTTTTTTAATGGGTTAAATAGAAAGCATTTTGAAATCTATGGGCAGTAAAATGTTCCCGAGTCAATCTGTTCTGATCTTTGTTTCTGATGTCAGCTTAATGGTTAATGATGTCTATTTATATTGGAAGGTTAACTTATATCTTCATTACATCTCAACTTGTAGATGAATGTTGTTAGGAGTTTCAATGACGCAGAGGGACCGCAATGGAAACACTCTCTTTTTGGCAATCCAAATGATCCTGAAACATTCAGGTTCTATACTACTCTCATTTTATTCTTGCTGCCAAGTTTCCTTAGGCAACCCCTCTACACTGTTGCATGTAAAATAGATCTGAAAACCTAGAACGATTTAAAGGTTAATGTTATCAATCATGGAGACGAGTTTGTGTTTTTGCCAAAAGTCATTTATTCATTTGTGTTAATTTTGTGTGTTAAAAACATAAAAAGAATGATTTCAAAATGTGAGTTATTTTTAGGAAAAACTGTGAGCTATAGTATACAAATTTTGTGATTTTGTTTGACGATTAAAAATTAATCATTTTTTTATAGATGAACTGTTTCTTGCCTGGTTATGAATAGACATCTTCTATAATATATATTTGTATTCTAAAAAATATAAAAAATTGATTTGACCATGTGGTGATTTTTAGTAAAAAAATGTGAGTTATAGCACACTATTTTTTTGTGATTTTATTTGGTGATTCAAATTTAGTGAAACAGTTTTTAGATGAACTGTTTTGTGCTTGTATATGAATACTCATCTTCTACACTACATATTGTGTGTTAAAAAATATAAAAAAAGGATTTGAACATTTAAGTAAGTTCAAAAACTGTGAGCTATAATAGTATACAAATTTTTGTGATTCTTTTTTATGATTCAAAAATTGTTTTACAATTTTTAGATGAACTATTTTTTGCCTGGTTATGGATAGCCATCTATACTGTATATTTTTTGTTAAAAAAAAATTCGATTGGAACATGCAAGTGATTTGTAACAAGAAGTGTGAGCTATATATAGTATACATTTTCTTTTATTTTGTTTGACGATTCAAAATCAGAGAAACAATTTCTAGATGAACTATTTTTTGTCTGGTTATGAATAAACATCTTTTATAATATATTTTTGTTTCTTAAAAATAAAAATAAAATGATTTGAACATGCAAGTGATTTCAGCTAAAAACCGTGGTAGTATAATTTTTTTGGGAAACATCTTTGATGATTCAAAAATTAGTGAAACAATTTTAGATGAACTATTTCTTGCATATTAATGAATAGCCATCTTCTATACTATATATTTGTGTGTTAAAAAATATAAAAAAAATGATTTGAACATGCAAGTGATTTTTAGCCAAAACTGAGAGCTATAGTGTATATATTTTGTAATTTTGTTTGACAATTCAGAAATCAGCGAAATAATTTTTAGATAAACTATTTGTTGCCTGTTTATGAATAAACGTCTTTTATACTTTATTTTTGTTGGTTGAAAAATAAAAGAAGAAAATGATTTGAAAATGCAAGTGATTTTTAGCAAAAACTGTGAGCTAATAGTATACAATTTTTTGTGATTTTGTTTGACAATTCAAGAATTTGTGAAACAAATTTTAGATGAACTAGTTCTTGCCTAATTATGAATAATCATCTTCTATACTATATATTTGTTTGCTAAACATCGTTCTAGGTGTTAAGATCTATTTTGCATGCAGTACTGTAAAGGGTAGAGGGGTTTCCTCAGGATATGCATTGTGGTTATCATTTTCACCCATTTCTACCTAAATTTGGCTACAAGGTTATCTGTAGTTATCCAGACTTTAGATTCCCATGAATTCAAGTCAAAACCCAAAGAAGTCCTTTTTGCCTTTCTTTTCCTTCTTTCTGAACATGCACATATGGTTACATTAAAGAGTATATGTCAAAGTTAATTGAACAAGAGATCTAATAAAGTTGTATGTAGCTGAGAAGTTGTATGTGGCATTAATTGTAAATGCAGGAGAAGATGTGAAATTGCAGAAACTCTTGCTGAGAAAAACTTTGACTTGGCTTTCCAAATAATATATGAATTCAACCTTCCAGGTAATTATTTGTCATGTGTAAGTCCTTCCTCGCTGTACTATGTCCATTGGATTAAATTTATTAAGATAAACATATCTCTCTGTGACACCATTCCAGCTGTTGACATATATGCTGGAGTTGCTGCATCACTTGCTGAAAGAAAGAAGGGGGGTCAATTAACTGAGTTTTTCAGAAACATTAAGGGTACCATAGAAGATGATGATTGGGATCAGGTATTTCGCTGTCATTCTGTTTCTCCGAAAGTAGTTTCCCTTTTGTGACATTAAGTGACAATCGATAGTATAGTTCGGACATACTAAATTCGCTGAACAGGTCTACTCAGTTAAGAAGGTAAAAGATCTGTTAGCCAATTGTAATGCTTAACTACCACAAGTTGATTACCGTATACATGGGATCTGTTGATTCTTTGAGTTTATTTTTTCTGTATACTGGAGATATGTTGTACTTTGTCCATTTAGGATAGATAAACCTCTATGATTTACTTGATGAAATCTAGCTTTATGATATAAGTTGAAAAGGTCTAAATTGGTGTATTTGTTTCCTAGAAGTATGAATGTTCCTTGAAATAAGCAAAGATATTGATGTGAATGATTATGATATTTCTTACAGGTCTTGGGAGCAGCAATTAACGTCTATGCCAACAAACACAAGGAACGCCCCGATCGCCTCATTGACATGTTAATTAGCAGCCACAGGTCGAATCCCATTTTATCCTGCAATTTAACAGAATCTTCAAAAACCGCAAGTAGCTATTTGATATATGCCATGTCACCAATTTGCCGATTCATGCATGTGGTTATTTGTATATCAGGAGAATTAAAAAGTTATGTATCTCAAGTGGTGTAGCCTTCTATATCATGATTGCTCTATTGAAAGAACTAGATGCATGCACAAAATATTTTTCTGGTTAGAGTTTTATGATTGCTTGGTCTGTAATGAATATGAATGCCTTAATAATCTATGTGTGTTTTTGCAGGAAAGTACTGGCTTGTGTTGTCTGCGGTCGTCTAAAAAGCGCTTTCCAAATAGCATCTAGGAGCGGAAGTGTAGCTGATGTTCAGTATGTTGCTCATCAGGTAATTCTACAAATCCCAAAGAATTAAATTTTATTTTAAATTATAGAACTTAAACAAGTAGTTATATATGAACCTCTTTTTGCAGGCTTTACATGCCAATGCACTTCCAGTTCTTGATATGTGCAAACAGTGGTTGGCTCAATACATGTAGCTTATCGCTCAAGGAACTTACTAGTTGGTTTAAGGTGTGTGATTATAGCCTATGTTTTGCAATTTACCACACTGCTGATCTGGCAACCATGGGAACCATTACTTAAAAATATTTTTTTGTGCGACGTAGTTTTCTTGGATGCTAACGCAATATCTTGAGTTACGTGATTCAAACCTCTTGGGTCAACTGGTTTTGGATCCATTGGGCTTAGATTTTGAACATTTTGACTCCTAGCCTTTTGTGGTTGTAGCATTTCTACAGATTTTCCGCCGGAATATTTGTGTGATCACCCGATTGGAATAGTTCCACAGAAGGAAGAGCATTTTTAAAAACTTTTCCATCGGAAAGATATTTACCGGCCTCAAAAGTTTTCCACACATCTGACATCTGTATCATATCAAGATTGAATCTATGTAGTGAATTGACACACACCATGAGTAAATTTTTTAAAAGTTGGTTTGATCTAATAAGCGTTAAGACTGACTGCTTTTCTGGGTAAATAATTTTTTAAAACATTTGTAATCTCACTGAAAGATGAGGTTAAAAGTGTAATTAATCCAGGTTATTTTGCTAATATTGTGGGATTGTTTTTACAGGATCTGAGGGTCTGCAAGATATCTTATATGAGTTTTGGTTTGAGAAGCCTTGTGTTTCGCTGACCCATGTTTTTAAAGATGGTAGTTGTGTTCCATTAATGGAGTTAATTGGCTAAGAAGACAAAGCAGAGATAAACTCTGTGCAACTTGCTTGAAAGGGCGTAAATGAGCCGAGCCGGCTCGAAAAAAGCTCGAGCTTGAGCTCATCTTTAGTTGTCATGAGCTCATGAGCCGGCTCGCGAGATATATATATATATATATATATATATATATATATATATATAAATGAGCTCGAACTCGAGCTCATTAAATGAAAGCCCAATGAGCTTGGCTCGAGCTCGACTCATTTACATCCCTACTTGCTTCATGTGAACTAATGTGTAAGGAAGTGTCTGAGAATAAGTTTTACAGTTCTTCAAAGTAAAACTTGCTTCATGTGAGCTAATGTGCAAGGAAGTGTCTGAGAATAAGTTTTACAGTTCTTCAAAGTAAAACAACGTTAATTTGTTACAAAAAAATGGAAATCAGTCTGCATTTTGTCATTAAATCTCCATTTTTCACCCGTTGAACTAAAATCACAATCAGTTAACAAAAAAAAATTTGATAAGCGTTTACATGTCACTTAGAATGTAAGAAAATCTTGGTTCATGCTCAATCATTGACATTTGATTTGGTCCTCTAATTCGATTCTATCGGATGGTTCGTTATTTTCTTAACACTCAGCATGTACAAACGATCAATAAAATTTAAACATGTGTAAAGAGATTTGGTCCTCTAATTCGATTCTATTGGATGGTTTATTATTTTCTTAACACTCGGCATGTACAAACGATCAATAAAATTTAAACATGTGTAAAGATCAATAAAATTTAAACATGTGTAAAGCTTATTTCGTAAAATTGAATATATAAAAATTATGGTCCCAATTGCGGATTTTAGTGAAACGTTTTTTATATAGTTAAGCTTCATGTTTCATGTTTCTTTTATGCTCAAACGGTTACAGTAAAATAAGACTCACATACTAAAGATGTCAGCCTCATTAGTTTGCTAATGAACAAAAAAACAAAATGGGAATCATTTACACACTCCCATGCTAAAGATGTCAGCCTCACTAGTTTGCTAATAAAAAAAAAAAAACAAAATGGGAATCATTGACACACTAATATTTTCGGGCTTCAAGTTGTCCCGTGGAAGTCTTTCTTAATGCAAATCTTCCAATCCGTTTATAATATCGAAAATTCTCTTTCTTTAACGAATCTATATTTTCTTTCATTTTAGTAAGTCGTTTGATGGCCATGGGACGGTCATCATAGGATCGTTCGAATACGACAATATTATTTTTCATTCCCCTTCCGATTTTAGTTATTTGTCTTCTCTATTTAGTTTTACTTTAAGTAATTATGTACCATATCTACTGACATGTCTACTTAGCATGATCTCAAGATGGTCTTTTCTAAGTTTTATGAATTATTTACTGAAAGAACACAAATACTAAGAAATGCTCTCAAACTTTAGTCTCTTTAATTAATGCATTGTTGGATGATTACAAATGAATGAGCCTACCTCTATATATACAACTCCACCTCCTCAATGGATGGTGGTGATTATTTTGATCTAAAGGCTACGAAATATATACGAAGGAAGATTTTATAAAGATCCTACAATCTCCTACCAAATATATACAAATGAAGATTTTATAAAGATCTCTACATGAGAGGATTCTAGAAGATATTCTAAAATCTTCTACTCTTTGACTCGCTTGATGGGTCAATTGTAACCTCACAGTTCCAAGGCAAAATGGGCAGCTCGTGACAATAAATGTAATAAATAATTATATATGGAGTATGAACAAGTAGGGAAGTGAACAAGCCAAACTCGCCTCTTTTGGCAGGCTCGAGCTTGAGCTCGAGTCTATTGTCGAGCTCGAGCTCAAGGCCAAGCTCATTTTATTGTTTTTTTTTTAAATATTTTTTAATTATTATTAAAATTAATTTTAAAAAAATTACAACATAAACAATAAATTGTAATTATATATATTTTTTTAATACTTATATTTTATTTTTATTTATTTCTATAATATTTTACATTATTATACATTATTTAAATAAATAATAATAAAAATAATAAATAAGGCTCGCGAGCGGGCTCGTGAGCTCACAAAGAACTAAAAACGGGCTCAAGCTCAACTCGTCAGAAAGCTCAAGCTCGAGTTCGAGCTTTTTTCGAGCCGACTCATCTCGTTTACCACCCATATGAATAAGGCACTTAAAATTTCCCCATCCATCGTCCCCCGACAACTCTCGTAGAGAAGCTTACTAACCATAATTAACAAAAAAAAAAAAAAAAAAAAAAAACATTGCATTAACTTGAGAAAGAGCTACATCTCTATTTATGATGCTACAATTAAATCAACCATCTTAATTCTTATTCCTATTGTTTCTTTTACATTTTTTACGGCCGTGGATAGGGGGAGGCTTGTTGCTTTTAGCTCTTTCATTAACCCGAATAGACGGGCCCCGTCGAAACTCCCGAATCTAGTAATGGTACTACTTTCGTTGAACTTGGCGTACTCTCTTCGAAATTCCTCATCTCTGTTCCAACATTTCATAAACTTCTCCACCTATACAATAATAATCGAGACTCAAATTAATATACTTAAACAAATGAACATACTCGAACAAACCTTCCCAGAAAACAATATAACTTACATTATTCTTGCAGTAACGGGAAAGCCCCACGCGATCCGCGGACGCTACATATAAATGGGCAAGGACTGCGTCCGAACTGCAGTCGCCTAGGAGTAACATCTGCGACCGATTTCACTCATTCAATTAAGCTACTCACATTGACATAATTATATATATAAATATACATGATCATAATTAAAAAAAAAAAAAAAATAGTACGAGCATTGAGAGATTAACCTTGTCACGATAAGATTTTTCTATACTCTCCTTGTTAGCAATTGCCTCTTCGCAAACACGAGCAGCAACACCGTACTGATGTTGGAGTTGTTCTATTTGTTGCATGGCATCGTCGTTTTTCTTCCCGAATTTCACCATAGTTGCTTTAGCTTCTAAGGCTCTGTCTCTGATGATCCCAATCTCGTTTTGTGCAATCTGCGCAAACCGACACCAAATTCATTATCCACTCTAATATGCATATGTTTCAAGATTGTGTATTTCCCTAAGTTTTGAGCTCAACCTATAACTTGCAATTGACGCACTGTGCTTGACATATCTATAATAAGCACCAACAATCTTTTTCTGGGGCTGCAAAATTGGCCAATAATAAAATAATTAGGTTAACAAAAAAAAAAAAAAAAAAAAATCAAATAACGAAAAACTTACTAATTTATCTTCAACTTGTAACTCAAGTGCATCCCTGAATTTTGTCTTTTCATCAACCTGTAGCTCTTCAATTGCAAAGGATTCTTGGAGAGTACGAATATAAGTCGGTGGGATTTTAATCAAATAGCTGAATGATACATTCATACTGTGACAATTTCAGAACAAATGAAACTGCAATTTTTTTTTTTTTTTTTTTTTTGTTCTTCTAAAAAGGTCGGAGATTAATTTATACTATAATCCAAACGAGTATGAAATATGACACAAAAGAAAACCCTAAAGAAAAATGGAAATCAAATCCCGTTCTGCAGATTGTACGAAACGAGATTGAGATCCTCAAAGACAGTGACTTAGAAGCTAAAGCAACTGCGGTGAAATTCCGAAAGAAAAATGACGATGCCATGGAACAAATAGAAGAACTCCAACGTCACTATGGAGTTGCTGCTCGTGTTTGCGAAGAGGCAATTGCTAACAAGGAGAGTATAGAAAAATCTTATCGTGAAAAGGTAAATCTCTTGATGCCAACTTATTACGTAAACACTTTCTCGAAATCTCACTTATCAGATTCCATTGTGGAAGATTCATGCATAGTATCATGAAAAATAGATTAAAAAAAAAATTGACTTATATTTCTTAATTATGATCATGTATATTTCTGTTATTATACATTTATATATAATTATGGCAATGTGAGTAGCTTAACTGAATGAGTGAAATCGCTTGCTCATTCATCGCTTGCTTGCAGATGTCACTCCTTCGCGACTGCGGTTCGAACACAGTCCTTGCCCATTCGTATGTAGCGTCTGCGGATCGGGTGGGGCTTTCCCATTCCTGCAAGAATAATGTAAGTTATATTATTTTTTGAGAAGGTTTCTTTAGGTAAATTAATTTGTTGAAGTATATATATTAACTTGAGTCTGAATCATTATTGTAAAGGTGGAAAAGTTTATGAAATGGTGGAACGAAGATGAGGAATTTCGAAGAGAGTACGCGCGCCACGTTCAACGAAAGTTTAGACGGGGCCCGTTCACACGTCGCGGATTATAAGGAAAGAGCTACAAGCAGCAACAAGCATGGTAGTAAAAAAAATGTAAAAGAAACAATAGGAATAAGAATTAAGATGGTTGATTTAATTGTAGATTTCAAGATAAATTGTCCAACTGCACAACTTGTTATGTATGTGCAAATCAGTCAACTGCATTACCCCCCACCACATTCATTGTCTTAAAGATATTTGCCCAATTTGGAAAAAAAATTAAATTATCTTAAGTCGGCGCTTGATGTTAGAAAAAGCTATCTAATTCATAAAAGTCAACTGGTCCTGAAATTTAGAAGGGCCAGTTGAAGATGTTTTTTTTTTCTTTCTGGTTGGTGAGTTTTTTTTTTCTTTTTTTTTTTCTTTTCTGGATTGAGATAAGAACCATAATTTTTCTAATTGTTTTTATTTTTTCAAGAATATATTCAATCTTCTTGCTTTTGTTGTATCAAAAGAATTTGTCTTATGTGAGACATCACTAGAAGCCTGCTTCTATTCATCCATGCATATCCATTTACCTATTCAGGAAAATAAAATAAAATAAAATAAATAATCCTTCATTTCTTAGTTTGATCAACAAACCGAGCTAAATTCTTACAGTAAATTTAACGTGTGATCGTTGTGATTTATGTGTGTGTGTGTGTGTGTGAAGGGATTTCATTTGGATTTTTATTTTATTTTAAAATAGCCAATTAATGCATTATGTGACTTTTGAGGGATTCAAACCCTCAATTCATGCCAAAACATGCCTTAGATCATGTGATAAGTCAAACCATTGTAAGCAAATAATGCATTATATTATCATCATAATATGAATATAATATAATTAAGTTCTACATTATTACGTTATAGCTATCAGTAACCCCACTACATAAAAATTCGAATTAAATTCATATATATAATACATATACAAATAGGGGGCAACTATTTTGAATACTAATTTTTGCTTAGTTGAATACTACCTAGTTGAAAACCACAATTGAGTACATATTTATAAGTTTTTTCTTACTTTAAAACCAAAATAAAAAGAAAATTACAAAAACACCCTTTCATACAAAATATCAATTATATCAAATTTTATTAGAAATTACCTATTCAAAAACCAAATAAAAAAAAAAGAAAAAAACCCTTTGTTGTTAAAAAAAAAACCTCCACCATTTCTTCTCCTCTCCAACCCTGACCGCCGCCGCCGCCGCCGACGCCGCCGCCGCCGCCGCCGACGCCGCCGCCGTCGAACGCCACCGTACGTGCTCGTAACTGCCGCGACAACCCAATTAAACCCTATCTCTTTCATCTTCTTAAATCCTCCAAAACATCTCCAAATTCAAAAAATCAAAACCTCACAAAACTTATAAAATGGAGTTATAAGACAATAATATGGTAGTATATGTGGAAAGAGAAGCCATTAAGGTAAGTATCGATGTCTTTTTTGAGCTTCGAAGTCGATTTTGAAGTTTTTTTTTTTGAAACCCGTCGGCAATTTTCGACACATACAGGTCGATTTTTGGTCAATTTTCGACACCAACGTGTCGAAAAAGAAAAAAAAAAAAAAAAAAAATAAAAAAAAAAAACCAAATTTCACACCTACCTGTCGAAATTTGGACATTTTCGACAGGTAGGTGTCGAAATTTGGTTTTCCTTTTTTTTTTTTTTTTCTTTTTCGACACGTTGGTGTCGAAAATTGACCAAAAAATCGACCTGTATGTGTCGAAAATTGCCGACGGGTTTCAAAAAAAAAAACTTCAAAATCGACTTCGAAGCTCAAAAAAGACATCGATACTTACCTTAATGTGTTCTCCTTTCATATATACTACCATATTATTGTCTTATAACTCAATTTTATACGTTTTGTGAGGTTTTAATTTCTTTAGTTTTGATATTTTTTAGAAGGGTTTGTTGTGAGATTTTTTAGAAGGGTTTGTTGTGAGAAAGATTTTTTAGAAGGGTTTTTGGGGAGGGAGAAGAAGGAGGTGGAGAAGGAGGGAAATGGTTTTTTGAGTTTTTGATTATTTGGTATTTAAGAAAGAAAAATAGTATTTGTAATATTTTTTTAGTTTTAATTTCATTAAGGGTATTAAAGTAATTTACAATTAATTATTTATTTTTTATTTTTTTGGTATTCAAGTAAGCAAAAGTTGGGATTTGAAATAGTGATCCCCATACAAATAACTATGATTGAACGTAAACAAAAGGAAATCAAGCATAGACTTTCTTTCTCCCCCACCTTCCCTTCATTTTCTTCCTCTTGTGTTTTCCTTGGAAAAAGAAAAACGAAATAAAAAGGAGGAAAAATGTCAGCGTCGGACGGACGGTCGCCGTTGACATCAGATATGAGGTCACCGATGCCGCTACTATCCCGGCGGCATACGAGTGGTGAAAATGAAATCAGAAACCTGGCTTCCATTTCCAGCAGTTTGTTGCCTGCTTTTGGTACAGTTATGGGTGAAGGCTCTGTTCACTTGAAAAGATTTGTTATTGCGCCTTATGACAGAAGATACAGGTCTCTCTCTCTCTCTCTCTCTCTCTCTCTCTCTCTCTCTCTCTCTCTCTCTCTCTCTCTCTCTCTCTCTCTCTCTCTCTCTCTCTCTCTCTCTCTCTATATAAGAACACACACAATACACACAACAGAGATAAAAAACAAATGTGCGTGTGTGTATAAGCGTTTTAAATACATATATATATATATATATATATGTATATATATATGTATATATAT